CATTGAGTCTTCCTATCCATGAGCAAGGGATATTCTTCCACTTTTCAAGATCTCTTTTTGTTTCTTGTAGTAATGTTTTGTAATTTTCTTGGAAAAGGTTTCACCTTTTCTAAGCCAGACTTATTTGTTTTCTTGGCAGTCCGTGGTATGTTCAGGGAAGAAGAAAGAAAAGTTATTACAGTGACTATTGTTATTGTCATAGAACAAAGTTATTATGAATGACTGAAAAAGAAACCAATGTATTTTGTAAATTTTCATTCAAATTGCAATTATAAATAGGTTTAAAAATTTTTTAAATTGAGAAGGATTTGAGAAGTCTTCAGTTCATATACTTATGCCCCTTGCATGATGACTACCTTCTCCAATTCTCATATTACTGTTGAAGAAAATAAAGTTCAACAATTTCACATGACTACTTAAGTGTCAGTTCTGGGCTTCAAGTTCAGTAACACAGTTTCTCTAGTGGCCTAATATTAAGAAGTGTGCTGCAACTCAGAGCCACACAACTTAAATCAGTCAGCTACTCTGAGGGAGAAAGGTACACAATCTCTTCCTGTGCTATTTACAGCCTCTGAAAACTTACTGGAGGATCAGCCAAAAGTCACTTCCAACTCACCAGAATATAACAAAAACTGTAAATGAGGTGACTATGACTCAGAATTGACTTTATGACAATGTATTTTAATGTCCCATGGTCTCTCTAAATAATAATAATTCCTTATTATTCTTCCTTTATCTCCTTTATGAAAGAATAATAATTTTTAAAATAAATGGCTTTGGGTTGGTTTTTTTTCCCTTTTCAGTAACGTCTGTCTATTGAAGTACTCCCAAACTGGAACACCAACCAAGATAACAAAGATCAATAATGTGGTGTCTGGATTTTCATGGAAATCCTGTGCACTTTCCAACCTGAGTAACTATACTTTTCTTAATGACGTTTAACCATCAAGTTGTAAATAAATGGTAATGATAAGTTCAACAATTTGGGATACTAATTTATATCAATAGAATAAACCAACAGTCTTTTTAATTTCTTCCTGTGGTAAATAAACTTCATTAAGTCCTAGAGAGTCAGCACTTATATTACAAATCTAAAATAATCACTTCAGTTGTTTAATTATAAGTAATTAAAATCTTAGAAGAAAACACTTTTGAGTATGCACTTTTCAAGTAACATTATTGATGCTTCACTGATTTTGCTGGGGACAGGATTTCATCACATTCATTTTCTCTCACATAGCTTGTATTAGAGACGTTTTCCCTGGGACAGGGTTTGCCGACAGAAACATTGACAGTGTCTTGGCTCCAGATGCTTTTGTCTGCCGTCGCATTTGTACTCATCACCCGAACTGTTTATTTTTCACTTTCTTTTCTAAAGAATGGCCAAAAGAATCTGAAAGGTAAGGAATAAAGAACATAGAATGATTTGTTGTCTTTTACAAATAGTTCACCAAACTGTCATTAAGAATTCTGAGTCATTACAAGTTAATCTAAAAGTCTGTGTAGGATAAAAACTGCAAAGAATTCTTGATCCCTCCCTCTCTCTATTCTTTTTCTATTGATCACAAATGCAATGTTATCAAGGGTTCTTGACTTCCCCTCGTTTAAGAGGTCTCAGCCTTTGGTAAGTAGAGTTAGCTATTCCCAATGGAGTGGAGAAAACAGGTGCTCATTAAAAGAACTTGGCTAAACATTCTACTTAAGTTCATTGAATTAAGAATAGAAAGAGCTCAGGAAGTACCTAAAAGAATATGCCATCCCCTTTTCCTTATGAACCAGGGTGAAGTCTCTCTCAGGGAGGAGTGATAGGGAATGGCAAGTGACACACTGACAAAGGAGATTAATCAGAACTGGCTTTGACAAGCACTGTGGCAATTGGGCAATTAAAACAGACATGGGGGGGAAGAAGAACGAACTGGGAAGGAGGGTGGATAAAATAGTGCAACAATGAATGAATGAAAACCCAAAATCTCTGTAAATGTTCATTAAAACTAATAAAATTTAATAATAATAAAAAAAGACTAGAAAGAGCTGGAAAGGAAAAAAAAGAGAAGGGAAGGGAAGGGAAGGCAAGGCAAAAGGATTCTCAGTGGAGAGTGGTGGAAATAAAGACTTAATGTCAAGGGAAATTGGAGAGTGGAACTTAAGAATTGAAATTATTTTCCTTAGTGATTCAGGGGAAAGTTATTTAACAAAACAAAACAAAACAAAAAAACCAAGACAAAATACCCCAAAGACATTTGCTGGAACCTTTCACTGATAAGATCTACCAAAATATCTTTTAAAAAGTCATAACAATTCAATTGCTCAGCTGTACCAGCCACATTTCAAGTACTCAACAGCCGCAGGAGACAAATGCAAAGCATATTAGGGGACCAGATACAGAAAATGTCAACTATTACAGAAAATCACACCGAAGAGCTCTGCTCTGGTCTATGCATATGTATTAACTAGCAAAGTAATTCTCCTCTAAGTGAAGAAGCCTGTGAATGTGTCTACTTCTCCAGTGATAAGTCTATAGCACCTATGAGTAGATTTCTCAATACTATGAATGTTTGTCAGTCCTTGCAACTGAGTGCTGTAAAGGAAATAAAGATGAAGGATGCTGTTGTTGTTGTGTGTCATAGAGTTGGAACCGACCCATAGCTGACCATATAACAGCGGTTTTCAAGACAGTTGAAGTGTGCAGAGGGAGATTGCCCTTCCTTCTCCAGTGGATCTGCTGTTAGCTGCGAACCTCATGCATTTGTGATTGCAGAACAACTTCTTGCCACCAGAGCTCCCTAAAAGATGCTAGACACACAAAAATAAAGACAGCACCGAAGAAATGTTTAGAGAAACACATGGTTTCATTCTGAAACTTTGCCTACAGAACGTGAATTACGGAGACTGACTCAGTGATAAGTGAAGACTATTTCAGAACGAGAAAATCTTGACTACTAAATGCCGCCGTGAAAAGCAACCTGCCATCTCTTCAGTGAAAATATTTAACGTTTTATGATCCTCCCTTCTTTTTTCTATTAGAAATCTTTGTCTTCTGAAATCATCAGAAAGTGGATTACCAAGTACACGCTACAAAAAGAAGAATACCTTTTCTGGTTTCAGTCTACAAAACTGCAGACACAGCATTCCAGGTAGATCACACGGGGAGCACTCCCCCTCTCTCCCCCTTGAAATCAACAAATCCTGAGGAGATGATGAATGGATATAAAGGTATTTGTCTGATATCTTTTGTGTGATTTGTTCTCTAGTGTTCTGTCACTCTTCGTTTTACCACAATACTGATTTCTTGGGTGAAGAATTAGACATTGTTGATGTGGAAGGGCATGAAGCCTGTCAGAAAAAGTGTACAGACTCCATACGCTGCCAATTTTTCACCTATTCTCCATCACAAAAGCTTACAAACGAAGAGGAGTAAGAATACCTTAAATATTTCTGCCACATCTCCTTAGGGAAACATCATGTTTATGACATTGTGTTTCTTATTCATAGGGGAAAATGTTACTTAAAACTTTCATTGAATGGATCCCCAACAAAAATACTTCACGGGAGAGGTGGCATATCTGGATACACATTACGGTTATGTAAAATGGATAATGGTGAGTATTATGACACTTGCAAAAATATGTTTGTATCATTGCCAAAGTAGTTAATAACGGCCACAGAGTGGAGAGCATTAGTAAAACAAATTTAGAGGCAATGTGCTGCCTTTTTTTTTCACTCCTATCACACAGGTTGATCATGTATTAGAGTAAGATATTGTGTCTTGAGTAAATTTTGCATTCCTAGGATTAACTGAAAGTGCATTAAAATCTTATCAATTTCTAGAACCAACATTTCATGATGAGGCCTGGATTCTCATGTCTGATTCTCAACATCATGAGCAAAGATTTTTCTTTTCATTCTTCATTTTTGAAAAAAACAACCAATAACTTTGTTAGTCATATTATACATTTTCTTCATATTGTTCTCCTAATTGTTAATTGAAAAATGTTTTCATAACATGTGTTTAAAGCTTTTCATCTAATCAAGAAATATTGGGGAGTTATTTTCAGGGGAGTTGATTCTTCATATTCCCTAAAAGGGTTTATATATTGAAGAGTATTGACCAAAAATGGCAGCAAAATATCAGTAATCTATCACAAGAGGGTTGCAGAGAGGAAAGAGAAAGATTAAGTATAATACTTATTGTTAAGATAACAAAAGGTACAATAAGATTCAGAGCAGTAGTATTTCTCATTCCAGTGTCCAATTGCTGGGAGGATTGTAGGCAAATGGAATTATTCTAAGGGTCAGCAACCTCAACATGAAGAAAGTGCCAGAAACACTCTTTTCCTTAATAATCACAATAACCTATTGTTTTATTAGTATTTCTGATTTTCATAAATCTATGTTTTATAGTATTGTAACACAATTGCTTAATATCAAATATTGCAATATATTGTGAACGAAGATAGAGATGAGCTAAAAGTGATAATTATACTTTGCAATAGTTTTATAACAACTACTTATGTCAGAATCATCTTCTGTGATGAAAAAATGAAAAAAATTAAACTTCTGACAGCAATTCTGTCATAATGGAGATAAGAAGAAAACTTACAAATAACTGTTCCCTTAGTTCTACTTCTAAGGTAAGTTTTTAAAGGGCATATGATAAATATCATTATTAGTGATGCTGACACAGTCTTAAAAACAGGACCAGCACTTATAGAACTAATTGTTGTATTGTTATGTGCTGTTGAGTGGATTACAACTCATAGCGACTTTCTGTACAACAGCTCTGAACCCTGCTCTATCCTGAGCCAACCTTATTGTCTCTGACACACCTACCCCCCATTACTCCAGTCACTGAATCAATTCATCTCACCACGGGTCTTCCTCTCTTGTACTGTCCCTCCACCCTCCGAAGCACGATGTTCCTGTCCAAGGACTGGTCTCTCCTTGCAACATGGCCAAAGTATGGAGACATGACACATCCCTTTCCAATTGTGAACCATGCAGTGTTTCCTTGTTCTGTTCTGACGAAGATGAAGCTTATCTCCAAGGAGCAGTATGGTTTTACCCTCTTCAGGATTAATGTGTTTGTTCTCATAGAAGTCCACGGTATATTCAATATTCTTCTGCACTACCACAGCTCAAAGACATCAATTCTCCTTCAATCATCTCTAGTCATTGTCCACCTTTCCTATACATAGTAAAATAATGACAAAGACTACGGCTTGCATCAGGTGCACCTTAGTCTCCAGACTGACGTTGTTATCCTTCAGTACTCTGGAGATATCGCTGACAGCAGACTTTCTCAATGCAATTTGTCTTTTGATTTCCTGGCTGCTGGTATCAAGACTGTTGATTGTGGGGCCAAGCAAATTGAAGCTGTTAACACTCTCAGTATCTTCACTGTCTATCATGATGCTGCCAATCAGCCCAGTGATAAGAATCTTTTTTTTTTCCTTGATGCTGAACTTCAGTTCATATTTAAGGCTGCATTACTTCAGATCCTACTGAGGTTCAGCAAGCAAGGTTGTGTCTTCTGTATAACACAGGTTGTTGATGAGTCTTTATCCATCCTGATGCCAAATTCCTCCTCATAAAGCTCAGGCTCCTGGACAATCTGTTCTGCATATAGATTGAAAAAAATATGGAGATAGGACACATCTGTGGTATAAACCCTTCCCAATTTTGAACCATACAGTGTTTGCATGCTCTGAACTTGTAGAAGTTACATTTTGGTAAATTGAATGACACATTTCTCCCCTTCACTATATTTTCTTCTGTTGAATATATATACTTTCCTTTAGAGGTCACAGCATATATTAGGTGTAGATATAGAGCTACAGCACAAAATATTAGAGGAGAGAAAAAGAAAATCTTGTGACTTCTTAGTATTCTGTGTGATTTAGGTGAAACCAGGTAACCAATGCACTTTTGAACTTCAGGCAGTTCCCTGTCTATGTACTGTTCTAGCTGTTTTGAATGATCTTCAGCAGTATTTTGCTTGCATGTGATATTAATGATATTGTTCAATAGTTTTCATGTTTTGTTGGATCACCTTTTTTGGGAATGGGAATAAATGTGGACTTCTTCCAGTCTGTTGGCCAGACAGCTCTCCTCCAAATTTCCTGACATAGACTGATGAGCTCATCCAAAGATGCATCTATTAATGGAAATAAATCAATTGGTTTTCCATCAATTCCTGGGACCTTATTCCTTCAGTGCAGCTTCAACTTCCTTCTTCATTTCCATTGGCTATGGCTCATATGGATTATGACAAGTTGTGGCTGACATTGAAACAAATAGGAATCCCGGAGCATTTGATTGTGCTCATAAGGAACCTATACTTGGATCAGGAAGCTGTTGTGCAAACGGACAAGGGGAGCACTGCATGGTCTGGAATTGGGAAGAGAGTGTGTCAGAGTTGTATTCAATCTCCATACCTGTTCAATCTATATGCTGAGTAAATTATCCAAGATGCTGTACTTTATGAAGAGGAGTGTGGCATCAGAATTGGAGAGAGACTCATCAATAACATGAGTTATGCAAATGACACAACCTTACTTGCTGAAAGTGAGGAGGATTTTGAAGCACTTGTTGCAGAAGATCAAAGAATTTAGCCTTCAGTATGGATTGTGTCTCAATATCAGGAAAACAAAGATTCTTATCACTGGCCAGTGGTAGTGTCATGATGGATGGAGAGGATATTATAACTGTCAACAGCTTCATCTTGCTTGGATCCACAATTATCACACTTGGTACAAGCAGTCAGGAAATAAGAAGACACATTGCAATTAGAAAATCTGCAGTTAGGGAACTTTCCAAGTTATTAAGGAGTAGTGATGTCAGTTTGAGGATCAAGGTGCGTCTGATTCAGGCCATAGTCTTTCTGATTACTAGCTAGGCATCTGAGATCTGGACAGTGAATAAAGATGACAGAAAGGAATTAATGCCATTGAATTGTAGTGTTGGAGAAGAACACTGAATGTCCCATGGACAGCCAAGAGAATGAATAGATATGTCTTGGAGAGGGTGCAGCCTGAGTGCTATTTGGGGGCAAGAACTTTGTCTCACATATTTTGGACATCTTGTTAGGAGGTGCTGTTCCTTGGAGAGGGACATGATGTTGGGAAGGGTGGAGGGTCGGTGAAGGAGAGTATTGACACGGTGACTACTGCAATGGGCTCTTGTGTGTGTCAGAAAATATGAGGATGGTGCAGGACAAGACTAGGTCTTTTGTTCATAGGATCGCTATGAGTTGTACTTGACTCTACAGCACCTAACAACAACAATGGCTCATATGGTACTTTCTGAGAATTTTCAGTGTCAATCAATTCTTTTTGGTACAGTGATTGTGTATTTCCTCCATCTTCTTTTGATGCTTCCTGGTCATTCAATATATTGTCTATAGCATCTTTCAATATTGTTACTTGAAGCTTAAATTTGTTTTTCAGTTCTCCCAGCTTAAGAAATGCAGAGTGAGTTCTTCATTTTCCCCCCCCTCCAATTGCAGCTCTCTGCACATTCCATTATAATACTTCCCTTCGTCTTCTCAAGCTGGCCTTTGAAATCTTCTGTTCAGTTCTTTTTTTTTTTTTTTGTATGTTTTACCTTCTTGGCTCTCTAGTGCAATTTTTAGAGTCTCCTCTGGAATCCATTTCAATTTTTTATTTCTTCTCTGTCTTTATAATGGCCTTTTGCTCTCTTCATGGATGATGTCCTTGATATCATCCCACAACTCAGCTGATCTTCACTCACTGGTGTTCAATGCTTCAAACTTATTCTTAAGATGATTTTGAAATTCATATGGGCTGGATGGACTTGTTTTAGTACATGAGTAATTGATAGTCTAACTCACAGTCTGCTCCTGGCCTAGTTTTTTTTTTTTCTTCACAAAAGTAGTGATGTTTTATTATAACTAAACAAAATTAATAGATAAATAGGGAGGGAAATACCTTTAGATTGAGTGAATCAGGGAGAATATCTTGTAAGAAGAGTTTTTCCTGGGAAGAAGGAAGCATAAACCATCAGTTTATCAATATGAGAAAGGAGGAAAGATATTGAAGGTAATAGAGTAGCTTAAATAAAGGCAGAAGAGCAGGAAAGTAACAGGAAATGGTTAATAATACGTTAAGCTAATGAGGATGGAAAAAGAGGGAAAGAATAAATGGGAGATGATGTGTGTTGGGGTGAGATTGTGGTAGACTTTGAATTTCAAGTAAAGTAGTTTGACTTTATCTATATGAAGTGTAGAGTCACTGAATATATGTAACAAGATGAATGAAATTTTTACTCTGTGATTCAGAAAGAAAACTTGGGTAGCAGCATGGCTAGATATGAGAATGGCAGTGATACTCCTTAGGAAACCAGACAAATATTTTCAAGGGAGAATAAACAGAATTTATTGAATTGCTGTGTGAGATTGCTTGAGGGGCTGAAAGTAAACATACATATACACTGTAATAGAAAATAAGTTATTTCCTGGCCTAGTTTTAACTGCTGTTATTGATCTTCTTCAACAATTTCATCCATAGGTGTAGTAAATCTGATTCTTATGCAGCCCGTCAGGTGAGGTCCATATATAAAGTTGCAGTTTGTGGGG